AAAAAAATGACGGTTGACTTCTGTGCCCCAGGAAGTGCTAAGGTCCAAGCAGACCAGCTGCTTCAACCAGAAGAGCCCTGGCCACTTGCTCCTGAGTTCCTACTCAGTCAGCCACTCACATGCCCACTTACTCATAGACACGTACACAAAATTTTCCATATATTCACTCACTCACACTGGGACTCGCATGGTACAACTGGCTCTGCCACCATCTTTCTCCCTTTCTGTGTTTCTTTGGTAATATTAATCTTGATCACTTGGTCAAGATGTCTGGTTTCTCCATCATGAAGTTACTAGTTTTTCCCTTATATCTGATACAAAATCTGGTGGATACTTTAAGATCATGGTCTCCTCTAGAGAATGGCTGATGAGAATCAGTTGATGACTTTTGACCAAATATTTTATTATGGTGGTTTTAAAATGATAGCATTTTTTCAATTCTACAACTCCTTTTTGCATTTATCCCTTGGCATTCTTCTATTAGAAAGAGCTGCCACTCTGCTTCTTCATTGTTTTTTCCTTCCTTCCTTCCTTCCTTCCTTCCTTCCTTCCTTCCTTCCTTCCTTCCTTCCTTCCTTCCTTCCTTCCATTCTCTCTCTCTCTCTCTCTATAAATATATATCTATATCTATATCTATCTATATATATAGATATAGATATATAGATAGATAGATAGATATCTTCCTGGTTTCCTCCCTTCCTTCCTTCTTCCTTCCTTCCTTCAGAAAACTCAGTAATGTATGTCAGTTTCCTTTGCTTATGCTGAGGATCTGAAAAGTAGTGAAAATGTAAAACCTGAAAAATAATTCTTAGCTTCATGTTGACAACTTCAGAAATAATTGTAATTAAAGAGGACACCTGTTCCTTCTACGCAACATGGCAGAAATGAAAAACTTAACTTGGAAGGTCACTGTCCAACATAGCTAGACAGGCATAACAGCTGAATGACACCTTTTCTTCCCTAATGACAAGTAATAATGTTCACTGTAGGGTACCCCACTGCACACTTTTACCATGGGATAAGATAACCTTTGCTAAATGAGGAAAAGCGTGTACTATAAGGGGCCTGCCCTCCAAAAACTAATTCTGTTTTTGGGGGCCTCCCATTTATCTGACCTTTAGGCTGTAGGAGTATACAGTAAGTTGGGTTGTTGTCTCAATTATCACAGGATTAATTAATTAACATGAGTAAAAAAGCATTTGTATTTCAATAGAGGAGAGATTTTGAAGTACTTCAATACCATTATGTGTTGTTTCCTGATCCTTTAAATAAAAGTTTAATTAGTGCCTTTGAGAAGGAAATGAGAAGTAATCATGCAAGTCACGTTTTGAAGACCTAGTCTTTTTGCAGTAAAAATGCTTCCAGCTTAAGGTTCATTATGTTTCTAGCATTATTCGGTTCCTAGAACAATGCATTTACTGAAAATGCAACACGCTGATGCAATCTGTCCATATGAATAATGCCACCATAAGGTTTTAAAAACACTTCTATGCACAAAATGAAACCTCAAACCCAAGGTAGCAGGTGACTTTGCATTAAATCAGTGACAGTCTGTATCTTCTAATTTTATTCAAAGTTTGAACTTATAGAAGGTAAAATAAAATATTAAACATTTAATAAAATATTTTTAAATGTTTTAAAAATTAATTTTATTAAAAGACTTTTGGATCAGCAAATGAATATCTAGAATGTTATTTACAAAGTACTTTTCCCTGCCTTCTTGCCAATTAATTTCTCTGCTTGACTTTTCTCTGTTCCTTTCTTGGGTTATGGGTTGACCCTGGAAAAAAATGGAGGGATGTGAAGAATAAAAAATAATTCCATCTATTTTTTTCCCTTATATTTCAACATCTTTACACCAACCCTAACTATGTTCTTGCACGTTGGGAAGATCTGAAATTGCAAATTGCTTTTATAGTGAATAAAAGCTACATATTCCAGGGTGAAATTTAAAGTCAATTTCCTTAATATTGATATGCAAGGAGGCCCCCAAAAAACAGAATTAGTTTAGTTTTTTGAGGGCAGGCCCTTTATAGTACAGGCTTTTCCTGCTAGGTAAGTATTCTTGGAATCCACTGTCATCAATGTACCAGCCAGTGTTGTTGTCAGAGGCTGTGTTCAACTTCATGAATTTTTTTTGAGATTCTTTCACTGTGTTTGCCCATTTCATGATGGGTGATTTACACAAACAACCTGCTCACACTCTGTTGAGTGTTCAGTAGTTTTTTTTTTTTTAAACTACAATTGGCATGACCTTTATGCCCCAAACCTCCCTATTCACCCGATCTCACTCTGAGTGATTTTTTTGTTTGTTTGTTTCCCTGATGAAGAAAGTCCTCAAAGGGAAAGTTCTGCCAATGTGAAAGAGATGAAACAAAAAAACAGCAGAAGCACTAAAAGGCATAAAAAAATGACATGTTCAAAAACTGTTGAGAAGTGCAATAAGCGTCTTGATGGGTGTATTGCATTAAATGGAAAGAACTTTAAAGGTGACTGTAGTTTAAATAGGTAAGAATAAATACACAATTTTTTATAAATGAATTCTGGGTTATTTGGGGGGTCTTCCCTCATATGACTAAACCAAATCAGGTTTTGTCATTCACTCAGCTGACGATTCACTATGTGGAGACTGGCCTTATATGCTTGGGATAGAGTGGTAAGCAAAATAGACAGATACCTGCGTCATGGAGTTCATATTCTAGGAAGATGAGATGAATAATAAACATCATTAGGTAAACTATATGATATCTTAGAAGATTAATACTACTCTGGAAAGAAGCAGAATAGCACAAACAGGACTGGGCTACCATGGGACTGACACATTACAATCTTAAATAGGGCAGTCAGGGCAGGCTTCATTCAGGAGGTGACTTTTCATTCAAGGCTTGGATGAAGTGAGGGAGTCAGTGTTCTATGCAGAGCCCTAGGGTGAGAGTGTACCTTTGGTGTTCACAGAACAACAAGGGAAAAAGGTGACGGGAGCCAGAGTGGCAAGGGAGGGAGTAGAAGGGAAATGAGGCTAGAGAAATAGAAAGAGGAGCCAATTCATGCAGTGCCTTGAAGGCCTCAGTAAACAATCTGCCTTTTACTTTGAATAAAATGAGAAAGCACTGGATGGCTTTGGCTTTTCCTCTGGGGGAAACGGGGAGCCATGAGAAGATTTTGAGCACAGGAGTAATATCGTCTGACATCTACTTTAAAAGGTTTGCTCTGGCTACTGGGTTGAGAATAGATCCTTGGGAACCAAGGGCGGATGCTGGGACACAGGTCAGGATGTTATTATGGTAATGGAGGTGAGAGCTGATGATGTCACTTTCACCAGGGAAGTAATAATGTCTTTTTCTCACTGTGAGAAGTCAGATGCTATGTATGTTTTAAAGGAAGAGTCAGCCGGGCTCGGTGGCTCAGCCTGTAATCCCGCGCCTTTGGGAGACTGAGGTGAGTGGATTGCCTGAGCCTGCAGGTTCGAGACCCGCCTGGGCAGGCGAGACCTCATCTCTACAATAAATCAAAAAATTAGCCAGGCGTGGTAGCGCGCGCCTGTAATTCTGGCTACTTGGAAAGCTGAGGAGGAAGGATCGCTGGAGCCCAGTAGGTCGAGGCTGCGGTGGCCGGGAGTGGCCACTGCACTCCAGTCTGGGCAACAGAGTGAGACTCCAACTCAAAAAAACAAAAACAAAAACAAAAACAAAAAAAGGAAGAGTCAAGAAGTTTTCCTGGTGGGTTGCATGTCGGTTTGAAGGAAAGAGAAATCAAGATTGACTCCAGGGGTTTTGGCCTGAACAACTAGAAGGCTATAGACGCCATCAAGTGAAACAGTGAAGGTTGTGAGTTGATGGACATATTGGGAGAAGGTCAGAAATACAGCTTTATACATGTTAAATTCAGAATACTGATTAGACATTCAAGTGGAGAGTGCCAGTAGGTACTGGGATGAAATGAATCTGAAATTCAGAAAAGAGGTTTGGAATGGAGATATATAACTTTGGAGGCATTGGCATATAAATGGTGCTTAATACCTAGAGACCAAATGGAGCAACCAGAGAAGTAAGTGTAGATAGAAGATGGAAGAAGACACAAGACTGAGCCCTAAGTGCTGTAGCAATGAAGACACTGGAGAAGAGGAAGAACTGACAAAAGAGGAACAGGAGACACTATCATTCTCGCATTCATTTGAAATTTATTCCCTCAAGTTCAAGATGATAGACAAAAGATCAAATGAGGAAGGAAGGATTAAGGACTTCATACACAGGGCAGATTGCTCGCAGAAGGTGCCCTGTTCCTTTCTATGGGATGACGAGAGAGAGGACATGAGTGTGGATGGGAAATTAACCTCCTAAGAAGGTACTGAATTTAGAACTTGCATTCCTTTTATATGTCAAATTGTACATACATAGATTGATTTAGAAAGCGCTATTGACATAATCAAAAGCAGAATGCAGCATTTTGTTTATGGTGACACAGGAGTTCAATATATTTATATGTCGAACTTACAGTATATTCTCAACAAATACTTGTCAAATTATTAATATATTACCCTTGCTCTTTGTTGAGACTTTTGACATTATGTTAAAGCTGTTCCCTTTGCATAATGAAGACATATGAAAAACTTTCTTCAATACTTTTTCTCAAGACATGTAAGTCTATTGAATCAGATGCCAGTTTATTGAGACATATACTTTCTCTATAATTACTTGTTAGATCTCACTGACACAGTGGGTGTGAATTGCCTATTTATCTTAATTCTGTCTGACTTGCAATTGTAGTCAATGAGACAACCATTGAAAATATGACTATTTTCAAGTATGAGATGTATTTTATTACTTGGATCTAAGTAATCTTTATTCAAAGCTAGAACTTCAGTCTACATTTACTTAGAAATACCCTGTGAAACTGCAGATTATTTCAGTAAGAGTCTTTAATGCTTCCTTTTCTCCCTAAGGGGTAGAGCATAACTAACAAATCCTACTCTTCCTTCAGGAGAAAGCAGTTTAGCTCACCAGGATAGGTGGAGATGCAGTCGATGTGGGCGGTCCTGATGCCACACATGCGGATCCTCCAGTTGTTCTTCATGCACATGCAGATGCAAATGGCAGTTCCCACAATGACCCCCATGATAAATACGATTCCAAACACGATGCCAGCAATTGTGGTGCCCCTAAAAAGGAAAAATAAAAGCGCGTTTATGAAAAAGCTTCATAAATACTCTTCAGTCTTTCACATACATCTTCATGACCACATGACAAATGCTTCTTTATAAATGTTCTTAAGGATAATGTTTTTTAAAAAGAGAGAATTCTCTGAGTTAGTCAAGTAAATAGTCTTCTGTATTTCAATATAGAAGAAATGTTACAAAACTTTAGGGGATTCTTTTCCAGCACGGTTGACCAACTCATCATTCAGATTGTGGTTCCTAAACTTTTTGCATTGGTACGAAGCAGAGTTATCCAAATATGCTCTCTAAAATAACAATGGAAAACACATTCTGCTGTATATATAAATAGCTCAGAACTGATCTATTGAGCATAGTGTATATTTGTTTAATAAAAACAACCTGGCAAATGTCAAAATAGTAAATAAAATTTAACATTTATTCCTTAGTAAAACTCTTCAGAGAGAGGAATTTTTTCTTAAAAAAAAAAACAAAAACCAAACAAAACATCATATTGTTTAATTATCCAGAGAAATTATGACAAAAAAGTATTTCCATTAAATTCAGGAACAATATTAACAAAAGATCTGTTGCTATTAATGTTAATGGTTTTCTCCAGAAAGTTTTAACTCATGCAACAAAACCATACATAGAAAAAAGATTGCATGAAAGAGTCAGCATTGTCATTATTTGTGGATAATATGATTTTTAGGTGTCTACACTTGTCCACTGTTTTGAAAAGTATTGAGGAAATATTTATAAAAATGTAAATAGTGAGCAGGCAGTATCATTTCTAGCAATGCTTTCTGAGGAAATATAGCACATGTATACATAAATAATATAACAAGGATGTTCATCAAAGTGTTGCTAGTAGCAAACTATGGGAAATATCTTCATGTCCCTAAAAAGAGGACTGACAGAAAAAAACACAGTACATCAGAGAATGAATCTTATATAATGATTAAAAAGGGTGAAGAGACTCACATGTATTGAGGTGAAATGTTCATGAAATATGGTGAACTTAATGAGAGAAAAAGCTAGTATTAACAGGATAATACCAGTACTACCAGAATAATTGCCATGGGGTAAAATTGTCTATATCAAAATTTTAAATATATATAATGATTATCTTGTAAATATGAGAAAACTAAACAAAATTAACTTTCTAATTTGTGTATTCTTCCAAAGCAACATTAGCTTTTTCTTTCTAGTAACGTCCTCCTATTTCTCAGTAGTATTATTGCATTTCTTTATATTTTATATTTTTACATATTATGTATTGGTTCCTCTCATAATATTTAAGATAGGCCTCTCACACAAGCTTTATCATTAGTTAAAGAAGTCATCAGTATTTATATAACCATGACATTGCTTACAGCTGAGCCAATCAATGTACCTAGGTTACCTTTCATTTCTCTTACAGTTTATTCGTTTAAATAATTTTCATGAGTTTTCATTTTTTCATACACCTCTTGCTATTCCTTCCTTCTCAAAATTTCTAGAAATCTTCCCCACAATTATTAGAAAGCTGTTCACACTCAAATACAGTAAAAATAGTGCATCAGTTCTGAAGTTTTCCCTCTTACAGCCACTAACATCATTGGCTACTCTGAATCTGAATTGTTCCCCCATAGAACTGTTTGGTAGTCCTCAAGTCTAGTTTCTGGAAGCATTGCTACTTCTTGGTGAACTACCCTGTTTGCTGAAGTACATTCCTGAATAGCTTCTTTAAAAAAAAAAAAGTTTTGGGGGGCCTCCCTTTTGTTCCCACTTCACCTGGTTTGAGATCAGTTACCCTTATTGATGTTCTGTCTCTCTCCCTCCCCCCTGGCAGTTTCCAGCTACTGATAATCCCTTTCTTATTATATTTTTAAAAATATTTTATTTTAAAGATATGGGTACAATTCAGGATTAGGTATACAAGTGGACATTGTACAGGTAAAGTTTGGACCTCCCTTTGGTCCCCACTTTGCCTGGTTTGAGATCAGGTACCCTTTTTGATGTTATGTAACCCCCCGCCCCCAGTCAATCTCTTTCTTATAGTATTATGGTAAATGTTCAGGGTTCACTTCTGAGTGAGAACTTGTGGTACTCAGTTATTTGTCTTTGTGGTAAATCACTACTACAGACTCTAAATCCATCCAAGTTGCTGTGAAGTCCATAATTTTCTTCTTTGTTGGGAGCCAACATCTATAGCTACATGGCTGAGGCCTGTAAAGGCCCATCTGGAAGATCGCCTCTGGCATAGGATATCAGTTATACCTATAATATTGGCATGTGATTAGTGACCAGTGTGCATACATGGCAGTAAAATTTATAAGTAAATCTCTATACACCTGATGGAAAGTTGCACAGTAGAATTATTTTATATGACCTTGTCCCTTCTAAGTTGTACTTCTTTCTAGATATTTTTTACTTCTATTTCCTTGTAGACTGGTTAGTCAGCTCTTGTTCCCAAAGGCAGTTTCTCCTAGGATTAAGATTAGAAACTAAATTATCATAATAGTTTTATTACCCTGCCCCTAGCCAGGCAGGACGTTTTTCTAGTTTCGTAACATGTCGAACTCTGTTTGCTTCAGCCCGTGGTCATTGTCATGGTAACCGTGCAGCCCATTATCCAAGAGTGTGACAGCTACTATTTGATTTTTAGAATAGACTTGTTTGGATAAAACATACATTTAAGACGATACAATTTCCATCGAAAAGGTTTAAACAGTAATAAGCATTCATAGAAAACTTTTGAGTTTTGTTTGAGCTTTTAAGTTTCCTTTTCTCAGATTATGACTTTAGTTCCTATTCCTGTAGGCCAATTTTAAGATCTTTTCATTAGTGTACCGAAATTTTCCCAATGGTGTTGTTTTTGCTTCTAATATGACAATAGGAAATTTTACACGTAGCCATGTATTAATATACTAGGAAAAAAGATTTAAGTTTTGGATTAAAGTCCAATCACTAGATCATATAAAAATTAAAGTTTAGGTTTATGAAACTCATATAAGTCATGGTAAGGAATAAGATTTGAATTAATTGTTATAGAATTACAGGGCACTATGTTGAGTCATAATAGGTTAATGAAATAAATAAAAATTAAGTCATTTAAGTAAACTTATAGATTATAGTGTTAAGTTGATAATATCAACCGTTAAAAAATATTAGGAGTCAGTGAACTTGGATTGAACCTAGAGTTAACTTAGAAAGTTTTTGTATTAATAAGGGTTTAGAACAGAGTATAATATGAATGATTTATTGAACATTATGGAAAACACTTTGAACGATTTGTATTGAAATTGTGCACCTGTGACCTTAATGTAAGCACGACAGACATCATGGAGTTCGAATTGTCTGTTTGGAACTTGCAAGTCTCATGATGGTCTTGTGATGCATGGTTTGTAAAGCAAGGAACTTGTACGCCCCCAGCAAGTGATTATCACACTGCTGGAGGGTATAGAAAATGGTATATAAGTTGGAAAAGGTTTGAATAAAATTGGCTTCAGTCCTGATCAGACTGTTCCCAGAAGAGCTACCTTCGAGTGGTCTCTTCTCGCCATCTCCTGATTCTCCAGTGCAGGTCCTAACCCTTCCCTCCAAGGTTGGAGCGGGTCTCCGACACTTCTTCTTTATGGCTATATAATATTCCATTGTGTATGTGTACCACATTAAAAAAAATCCAGTCCAGTTTCAATGGGTGGCATGGTTGGTTTCATGTTTTGCTATTGTAAATAGTGCTGCAATAAACATGCGTGTGCAAGTATCTTTTTGGTAGATTAAAGGTCCTCTGGATATACTCCCAGAAGGGGGATTGCTGGGTCATATAAAAGGTCAATTTCAAGTTCTTTTAGGAATTGTCACACTGTTTTCCTTAGAGATTGAACTAGTTTGCATTCCCACCACCAGTGTAGAATCATTCCCTTTTCTCTGCATCCTCGCCAGCATCTGTTGTTTTTTGTTTTATTAACGATGGCCACTGAATGGCTTCTTAAAGAAAGATCCAAAGGAAAGTAGATTTTGTTGAGTCTTTGTATGACTGAAAATGACTTAATGCTACACTCTCACTTGACTGATAATTCAGCTATGTATGGAATTCTAAACTCTGAGACATTATTTCTCAGAAATATGAAGGCATTGTTCACTGTCTTCTAGAATCTGGTGCTGCTGTAGAGAAATCCCATGGCATTCTAATTACTTTCCTTTGTGTGATATGGTGTTTTTCTTTTTTCTTTCTGGAAGTTCTTAGCATTTTGTTTTTATTCCTAGTATTCTAAAATTTTATAATGTTGCCTGGATTAAAAAAAAAAAAATTATTTTGCCAGACCCTTAAATTTCTTTATGTTTGGCAACTCATGTCCTTCAGTTCTTCAGACTGTTCCATCAATTGATACATTCTTCTCCACAATTTTTCTGTATCTCCCTTTCTGGAAAACTATTCTGAAATAAGTTTCTGAACTTCCTGGATGGCTCCTCTAAGTTAAAACAAAAATCTCTTTTTGCTTTTTTTGAACTACTTCCTGGGGAATTTCATTTACTTTATCTCTCAAAGTGGTACTGAACTTTTAAATTTTAGTTATCATATTTTTAATTTTCAGGTGCTGTATGTTATCCTCGATTGCACCCTCCCTTTCCTAGTGTCTTGTTTTACTTCCACTGATGCAGCCTCTTCTCTTAATCTTTGAAGGTATAAATGATACATTCTTTGAAACCTTCTCTACTGTTCATATTTCCTTTGTCTTGTCTAGTTTCCTTTCAATTCATTTTTATTTTGATCTCTTTCAGGTTTGATGTTTTCCTCAAATGTCAGGTGATCCTTGACTCTTCTATTAAAAAAAAAAAAAAAGAGTGCTGGGCGTAGTGGTTCACACCAGTAATCCCAATCCTTAGGGAGGCTGGTACTGAAAGATCACTTGGTGCCAAGAGTTTGAGACCAAACTGGACAATGTAGACAAACCCTGTCTCTACAAAAACAAAAACAAAAAAACTAACCAGTCATGGTTTCATGCATCTGTAGTCCC